GGAAGAGGAGAGCTGTGGAATTGGAGAAGAATATTGCTTGATGAGGAAAACTCTTGCAGCCCATGCTGATTATATCTACACAGATAAGCAAAGGCCATGAGATTATTTGCACCTTAGAGTAGGTTATTATGTTTAGTTCGGCTCGGATTCGACTCACTCTTTGGTCAAATGTATATTTTTAACTAATTGGGTTATGTTCGAATTGACTAAAATTGATATACTAAACTTAAATTTATTCACTTCTTTCCGATCATGATATCATATTATATATTCGATGTCAACGTAATCGGTGCTTTTTAGTTATTTCTTAGTTAGAATTGATAAATTGTTTTTCATTGAAAAATCATAAAATTTTAATTGATGAAAAATTAAAAGGGCTTTTTTGACATTTCAAATGAGTGCCTCTCATTTATGTTTTTCTTTTAATTATTGAGGTAATTACTAATATTGGAAAGACAAATTATTTATATTTTTATAATTTTATATTTATGGCAGTTTCGCAATTAAATAACGTCTTTATAAATTAACGAGAGCCACATAAATAGGCGTAAGCGGAATTTTCCCGCCGGGAAAATCACCGATTTCACTTTCTCTTCTCACTCTCCCTCGTACCAAACCACCACAACCGCAACCCGTTCATCGAAGACAATGGCTGACGCGGCCGTCGGAGACAAAAAACAGTTCTGGCTTCTGAAGACGGAACCAGCGGAGTGGTCGTGGGCCGACCAAGCCGCGAACGGCGGCCGAACAAAGTGGGACGGCGTCAAGAACAAGCAAGCGCAGAAGCATCTCAAGTCCATGAAACTCGGCGACCACTGTTTCTTCTACCACTCCGGTGCTAAGGCCCGCCGCATCGTCGGCGTGGTTTCCGTCGCACGGGAGTGGTATTCGGAGGGCGATGGCGGCGACGGTGTCGTCGACGTCGAGGAGGTCGGGGAAATGAGAGAACCGGTGGATTTGAAAGAGATGAAGAAGGGGATCGAAGGGATGAAGGATTTCGCGCTGTTTCGGCAACCGAGACTGTCGGTTGTGCCGGTAGCGAAGGAGATTTGGGAGAAGATCTGCGAATTGGGAGGCGGATTTGAAGGGGATGGAACAGATTGCCGCCATGGGAATGAGGAATAGAGCTTGAATTTGAATGCTGCACGCAAGGTGTTTGTGAATATGCGTAAGTGAATTTTGTTGACCCTCTTTTGATTTAACATTATGTTTTGTGAATGAAAATGGAATGGCTATGGATTTCTGGTTGGAATGTTGAAGAATTTTGAGAAGGCCTTAAGAATCCGACGGAAACAACGAATAACCGTTGAAAGTGCGCCGTGGCCAGTGAATGGTAAACCTGTAATTTTAGCGTGAAACAAGGTCACTTGTTTACATTCATAAAATGGTGCACTACATGCGTACGTGTTTCTTCTATATATATGGAAGCTCTTCGCCACTGACAGAGTCCAAGACTCGGAAGCCATTCAATCTCACACCTCTTTCAACATAATTCCCCTTCATTTTCTTCTTCTTCCCTTCTTTGAAACCCTAATTCTGCAAAATTCCTGTTTCGATTCCCCTTCATTTGGAGATTTCAGCGGCTTCAATGGCGAATCAGCTCGGCAATTTGGTGGAATCCATAAAATCCAAGGTGAAGGCACTGAGGAAGTCGAAGAAATCGAAGAAGCCATACATAAAAATTGACAAGAGCGCGAACGTCAAGATTGAAATCCGTAGCCGAAAAGCTTGATTGTTAATTGATAAGACCTTGAAGGTCGCCGATCGTCCTGGCGATCGTACAGTTTCTTAGTCTCGTTGTGATCTCTGCGCTTATCGACTCTCAGGTTTATAATCGCTCTCTCTCGCTCGTTATTTTCCCCTGTAGTCTTCGCGGAATGTTCTGGTATGTGATGATTTTGTTTTGGTTTGATCGTGTAGCTACCGATTCTGAGTTTCTCTTACAGATTCAGATATGGAACCGTTTCGGATAAATAGCTCCGATACCAAACAGATAATCATGAATAGCTCCGATTCTGAGTTTCTTCTTCATTATCCTCAACAAATCTCAATCGCCAATCGATCTTCCTTATTAGATTTCTATTGCTTGCAATTCATTTCAACTCTTCTAAATTAGAAGATTTTGAAACAGAACAGTTGCCTGATTTGATCGAAAGAACAACATAAAATAAAGGCCATTCCCTGAATCATTCGATTTTGAAAAAAATTCCCATTCATATTAACATTGAATTTTGGGCATGTTACATTTCCCTTTTAACTTGGAAGTTGGAAGTTGGGCCTTTTGGGCCTGACTTAAAGAGTCCAGCAGGGAAATAAAGCCTGATCTAATTGGGCCTGTATTTGCTTAAATATTGGGCCCAAATACTTGTACAAATTCATCATAAACTAAGGTGGAAGACAAGCTTCTAGATATCTTAATTAATTCAAAGCTTGAAAAATCCAAACTGATTAAAATCATAGCCTTTGTCCCAAGAAATGGGAACATTCAAGTTAAAGAAGCAAAATAATAATAATAATAATAATAATAATAATAATAATAAATTTAGAAAAGGAATTTAAGAGTTTTGTGTTGGCTGTGGTTGGGAAGGCAGGGACTGGTTTTCCCATAGCTCTTAAATCCACTTCTACCCAATTTGATAGAATTCAGTGAGGCAAAAGCACTTTATTTTATTTATTTATTTATTTATTTATGCAAATAATTCATTTGCTTTCTCTCTCTACATGGAAGGGAAGGATCAATCTGCAATAAAATAATTTGAGAGGGCATGTGGGCAGCATTAGAATTTTGATATCCAAAATTCCCAATTTGCTATTTGTTTATTCAGTATTTTGCAGTCTTTTTAAAGAAGAAATCAGACCATTTTTCTTTAAAATTTTAATTTACTAGACACCTTTATCTAACATGCTTAGGCTAACAAAGAACGTGTTCGTATCTGTAACGTTTATTAGATACATATCGAACAAGGAAGTTCAAATAAATTTGTTAAGGTAAGTGGAGCACTGAAGGAAGGAAGGAAGGAACCAAAATTTAGGTTTTGAGTATTGTTTGTGGATTTGATAAAATCCCACCTAATCAAATCTAAAACTTTTAGGCATATTATTATTTGGATGAAAGTTTTGTGGGTGTTTGTCATTTTGTGCTGATTTGTGGAGAAAAAATAGAGTGAGGACCTAAGGAATATTCAGAGCACACTCAAATTAAATTAAATTAAATTAAATTAAATTAAATTACATTAAATTAATCTGATTTGTTTTGTTTCCTATTGACTTTTGCCCACCTGCTGCTTTGCTGGTTCCCATTCCCTCTGCCTCCTCTGTTACGAGATTAACCCACCATTTTCAACCTACCTTTTTGTACCCATCCTCAACTTTGTGAGCTCCTTCACACAATTGGACCTATACTCACATTTCAAATTTGGATTTAGTACTTCATGATCCCAATATTTTCAAACGTGGTCAAATTACAACTATTTCTACAAACCAATCGAGTCTTTTTAAATTACCTTGTTATCACTCACTTCAAGAGGTCACTAAACTCAACGAGGAATTGGTCTAAGTAAAACATATTTACCTATAAAGTTCACCGAAAAGGAAGGTACACCTTATTAGTATAAGTTGTAGATCGCTCTCGTTCAGTGTGTCACGGTTCATTCATGTTTCCAGTATCACACTAACAATATTTCAATTTTAAACAAAGAAAATATCCCTACACCTCCAATGTTTAAAGAGATTTTGGCTCTCAATTTTCGAGCTACAATGAACTTCAACAAAGAAATGAACTAAACAGTAAGTTTAAATTGAAACAAAACTCCATAGATCTTCGCCTTACGACTGCAAACTACTAAGAACCAGTTGTTGTTGTGTCGAATAAGTAACCTTAAAGTAATAATTGAATTTTCTCTGTCAGCCAATCATGTTCATTCCTTTCTCCTCCGAAAAAGAACAATAATTGTGTTTTAAGTTAGTCAAGAAGAGGCAAGGTCAAATTGGACAGGGATGGCTGTGGAAGTAGTCATTGTTGAAAGAGTTGAGCAAATAAATCAGACACACTGTTCATGATGTTCTTAGAAACTCAACTTTTTTGCTCTAATGTTGTTTCCCATTGCATTGACAGTCACAAAAAGGAAATAAAAAGAAGATGAAAAGAAGAGAAAGGGAATCAAAACCCATCTCTTCAGAGATCCATTTCCCTCTACATTTGCTCATCTCATCCCTATTCCTTTCCCTTCAAACCACCTGTGAAAGAAGCAGACTGGAAACTTTCAGTTCATAAATTCCAATACTCAAATCAAACCCAGTGATTGATTAATCATGAATTGCCAAGAACACAATCAAATAACTCAACTGGTTCTTTTGCAATCTATTTCCTGATAGAGAAGATTGAAGGAACCCAAAATGCTCTGTAAATGATGATCTTTCCTGTATAAACCAGCAAGAACACAAAGTCAAGTGATATGAATATTAGACCTTTCTTTTTAGGGAGGGAGGGAGGGAAGAACAGGCTGCTAAGTACCTCAAAATGACTGGTTTGAGACAAGCCCAAGAAGCTTTCCATTGAGCCTTGATTGGGGAAGTTATTCTGAAGATTTGAAGGAAGCAACTTTTAATGAGTACCCAATTGATGGATAATCATTATAGACAAAGCTTAAAGAGATTGTTCAAGAAACTTACAGCAGTGAAGTTGTGAGCAGGGGAACTAGCAGTGTCATCTAGGAAGGAAGATGGCTGATCATGGCATTGATATTCTGTAATTTTCTGCTTCTTTCCCTTGTTCTTCTCCGGTGTTACTGACTTAGAAGCATGAGAGAAATGGCCATCATCTTCATGAGAGCAAGCCTCGTCTTCAAAGAAATGTGGAGGGCCAGAAGATGCATCAGAGACCATAGAAAGATCCTCCTCAACCTCATGTTCTTCAGTAGCTTCAGCTTTCCAATATCCATCACAGAACCCACTTTCTCGGTCAACAATGCGATCAGAGCCGCCATGAGAAAGAAATGATTGCTCCAAATACAGAGTCCAACCAGACTCACACCCACTGCTACACTCAGAATCCAACAAATCCATAATCCCAACCCTTTTTTCCTCTCAGGACTTTTATCAAACAGGTTGTGTGCAACAACCCAATTCAAGATGAAAACAGAGACTAAATCAAAATGAGATTCCAATTCCCACAAACAAAATTTCAGCAACCAAAGTGGGGTGTAAGAAATCTAATGAACAGAAATCCCAACAAAAAACAGGATTTTGTCCTGAGGATTCTCCTGGAGTGAAATGAATGAATCAAAATGAAAAAAAAGTGCCAGTTGGGGTGTGGTGGGTTTATAGTGTTGATGATGCACGTAACAGAGAGAAAGGCCACAACCTCTTCACATGCAAGACAGCGAGGCATTAGTACGCTCTTAAAACCAAAACCAGGTACACGTCCATATCTCCTTCTACAGTAAAATGGATATCTATTCACTCATTCAATTCCTCTCTCTCTCTCTCTCTCTCTCTCTATCTCTCTATCTCTTCAGTTTGTGACATTGTTTGGTCTAATCAAGCTGGTTCGGTTAAAAAATGATATCTGGAAACGTGCGGTACTCGCCTGAAAACGCTACGGGAGAAGCGATTGTTTTGGTTTTAGTGTCCAGAAATAGAAACGATTTGGCTTTGCGTACCGTACGAGACAAATCAAATCTCCACCACCACCTCTTAATTCCTTTTCTGTTTGCGCTGTTCTTCTTTCTTCCATTCTCTTTCATTGCCGAATCAAAATTTCGCAATGAAATGCCTAATTGTTCGTTGATTTCGTGTTCAAATTCGGATGGAAATCCACAATTTCTCGTTCCGATTAGGGTTTCTTTCCGTTAGTTTTGTGCTTTGGAGGAGAATTTTGGCGGCCGTTTTTGTTTGTGGGAGAAAAAGGGGTTTTGGGCTCTTAATTCCCATGTTATTAGTTAAATCCATTAAATTAAAAATTCATCTTAATATAGTTTATAGTTTATTTAATTAGGTATTTTAATTAATTACTTCATCTGTCCAAAAATTCAACTATATTTTCCATGAAAGAGTTCGAGCTAAAAAAAAGACATATTTACCCCTTAGAAAACATAGACTCAGTGTCGGTCGAAGTGCTCAAGTTCAATTAAAGAGAACGACATAACAAGAAAACGACGTTTGTGGTGGCATATAAATGAAATATCAACGAGTATAGGTAGAATAAAATTATCACGACCCCATATGCTAAACATCAATCTTATCTCCACAAACCAACTCATTCATTACTTAGATTTGTTGACCGATAAAGAGGTCGGCATTGCTAAAAATACAAAGAATCTGGAAGGACAGATGTCATCGAATTATATCGTAAAAACCTTAGTTCGGTTTATAATATAGCTATCACAAACACGAACGTGTAGATTTGAATTTATGATCTATTAAAAAACGTAAAAATGTCTTAATCACCAAGCTATGTTTCAACCGAGCAAGCCCATCGATTAGGTTTGCTCGTAAAAATATTTTAACCACCGAGCTGTGTTTCAATCAAGTGGGTCCATCGACTAGGTTTGCTCGTAAGAATGTCACGTGTATCTCTCTCTCTCTCTCTCTAAAACATGAAAGAAAACACACCGTCGTCTCTACCCTTTTCAAGAAATACGCTCAGCTGTGGTTTTGCCTCTAACGACTAACACACACATGTGCGCACGTGTGCTTTTTTTTCCTTCTTTTTTTTCATATCTGAATTCCCCAAATATTCACACACATGCTCCCACGTGCGCACGATTTTCAACCTCATTTCCCCCTTCTTTCTATTTTTCCCCCAAATCTCTTTTTTTTTTTTTTTTTTAATTAATAAAAAAAATTCACACTTGTGAACCATGGGTCCTAATTCCAATGTTTTTTCTATTTTCTTTTTTTTTTAAATAAAAAAAATAAAGAATAGATGTAATTTCCACACCTCAACATTCATTGCCCATATGTTACACCATTCTTTTTTTGTAATATCTAGAATTTGATATTTTTAATAATAATACTCGCCCGACTCTAAGTGAAATTCTCGTTATTCGTGTAAAAACTAAGCTTGTTTGGTCATACACGTCATCAAAGCGTGCATCCTTCAAATGCAACGTTACATCTCATCTCGCTATTCTAATTCTCAACGGCACATTCAAGCTTCGTGATATCATCGACCTTCACTGCCTTTCAAGCACGCTTATAAAAAATCGACCCATGAGTCAATTATATAATGGGGACATCTAGAAATGACTGACTCATTATTGACGTGATATTTTGACATTAAATGAAAAACAATAAATTGCATAGAATGGTCAAAAAGTGTGACATAACAGAGATGAATACACATTAGAATAGTAATGTGAAACACAAAGGGGAAAGAAATGAAGAGGGCTTAGGCATGGATTATAAATAAAAGAAAGAAGTTAGCACAAAAATAACTTTAAATAGAGGCCATGTGCAATTTTCTCTCTTGGATCCCTCATTATTGATACACCCATATGAACAGCCTCATGCTAGGAGCTTCAAATTAAAACCTTGCTTCCAATATTTTATATACCCCTTTCATTTAAATCTCGTGGGGACATTTTTGTTGATCTCGTTTGTGATATTATTGGGTTGGAGGATAAATTTAATGCGCGTAATTATTTCATTATTTTTTTATCAATTTTAAATTGTTCTTCGTTCAAATGATTCGATAACTGTACGTGTATATGTATATATATTTTTATTTATTTATTTTAAGTTATATTATGAATTTTGATGTTTTTGATTTTAATATTTAGCCACGCCTATAAAATTTTCACCTCAATGTTGGGACCAAATTAGAGGGGAAATTAAGCCAACAAAAATGTTATTAGGGTTAGAAAAAGAAAAAAGAATTGAATTTACTTTTAATTTCAATTATATAATGCATAGCTGAGAGGGGTAAGATTTTAATTTTTGAACCGAGGGATATGGGGGACCAAGGTGTAAAATAATGCCAGCAGGATATGGGTGGTAGACACCTGTCAGATAAATAAATGGGGTTCGAACTGTGGGGACCACATCAAATTGAGAACAAAATTTTAAAAAATCATCCTAGTCATTTTTTGTCGTGTAGCGAAACTTGCTGTAAGCGGGAACGTTGTACGGACGGCCGTACGAGGGCGTCATTGCACCGACGGTTCATCGTCGCCCACAAAACCAACACATCGCCTCAGCTCAACATGGTTCTGTTTCATACCCGACCCGACCCGACCCGACATTCTACACGTGTATTTATGTAGCACGTGTGAGTTACACCTTTTTCATGAAAAAATCGAGATAAAATAATAATATTAATAAATTATTTTTTAAACTTATTTGAAAAAACGCAAAAGATTTTTGTAATTTTTCAAAATAAGTTTAAATAATAATATATTTTTTTAACTTTGGATTATAATATTTTTGTTTTTTTTTTTTACTTTTAAAAACTTCTAAAATTAGGAAAGGATCCATTTTGGAACTGGGCCATGCAATCTACAGCCCATGGCCAATTAAATGCAAATGGGCTTAAATTCTGGACCATGAATTAAGGCTGTGGGCCCAAACTAGGTGGAGAATTGGCCCAGCCCATAATTCATCACGAAAACTGTAATAAATACGGTCAGTTTTTTTTATCCAAATGTTATCACTAGGCTGCCCTACCGCCACCCTAATCTATGAATGTTCATTAATGTCTCCCCAATAATTAAAAAATGAGAATACTCCAATTCAATTATTTCATCTTTTCTATTTAAATAATAACTCAAAAATTAGTAATTTATTTAAAAATCACCCCTAAAATTTTAATATTATTTAAAAAAATATTCTTAAAACTCTAAAAGTATTTATTTGTACAAATACACAAAGTTTTAAAAATATCATTAACACCTTTAATATTTATAAAAAAATAAAAATTTTGTGGTTATTAGTGTTATTTTCTTTTAGTATAAATTCATGAATATTGTAGGCCGACTACAAATGTATTTTTTAATTTTAAAAATTAAAATAAATTATGGATTTTAATGTTATTTTAGAATGATTTTGAAAATTAAGAATATTTTTTGATAAATTATTTTTCAACTTTTTATTTCATTTTTTTAATTATTTAAAAATAGAAGAATATATTTGGAAAAAAAATGTAAAGTTGAGAAATAATTTCACTAATTTAACCTAAATTTTAAAGGGGCTGTTATCCACGTAAGTAAATATTTATTGCACCGATAAAATGTAGAGACAACAGAGGATGATATTAATTTGTAGGTTTGAATGGTACCCTTGGTGGAAGGGTGTCTAAATCTATTGTATTTAATTATTGTGGCTGCTGACACGTAATTGCCAACGTGTATATAATACCAATTTATAGTCAAATATGGTTTTTTAAATTTTTAAATTAAATTAAATTAATGTTTCTATATAAATCAAAATTATGGACATTTTGATGTGAACTTGTCGGCAATTGACTTATTTTTCAAATCATTATTAATTTCCACAGTACCAAAAATAAATATTAGAACTTCAGTAATTCATTTTAGCATTTGTCGTTAAATGGTTAAGATATTTATGATTTTTTTTAAAGTTATTTTTATATTTTGAGGATATTAATAATTTTTTTTTTTAAATCTAAAAAATTTAAAAGTATTTTTAAATGACTTATATCTAAAATTAAAAATTACACCCGTATAAATATCGAGGTACAAATTTTAATCTTCAAATCGGAAAAAAAAAAAACGATATTTTAATATTTATACGGTATCGATATTATTTAAAATAACTTAGGTATTTTAAGCTTCATCTTAGGCATTCCTTTAGGTGGGTGTCAATGTCAATTTATATATAGAAATTTTGATAGGGTCATAGAAAAGTTTGCATTTTCTATTTATCATTGAAAATTAAATAAAATCATATATATTTTGTTTTTTGTTCTTTTCTAATCCATCGTTTACGGCTAGGACTACTGGGGTATCTAATCCCATTCGCTCCCCTAGCTTTCGTCTCTCAGTGTCAGTGTCGGCCCAGCAGAGTGCTTTCGCCGTTGGTGTTCTTTCCTTAATTATTAATAATTGTGTTTTCAATTTGATTTTCTCTCTCTCCAACTTTATATATATATTGAAATTAAAAAAAAAAAATCCAATAATATTATATTTATATATATGCTAACTTTTGAAATCCAAAAACCTAACCTTTTTTTTAATGTTAAGAAAATAAAAACGCATAATTATTATTATTTAAAAAATATGTACTAAGTAAATGTCAATATGAACATAGCTCAATTAATTAAAATATATATACTCGATTAAGAGATCGATTTGAATTTATCCCCCTTGAATTCAAACATAAGTTTGAATTTATTAGATCATATATGAATATAAATATGTATATAACTATTCATTTGAGTATAACTCAAAAGGTCAGAAATTCAAATTATTATCTTCACGTGTTATTAAACTAAAAAAATAAAAAAAATAAAAAATTATACACATGGAAATATTATTCATGCATGTGCATATTCAAACACGTAATAGATATATCTAATTTTTTTGTGTTCAAGATCATCGCTTGCAAATATTGTCCGTTTTAATCAGTTACTTATCGTTGTTAGACTCACAGTTTTAAAACGCGTCTATTAGGAAGAGATTTCACACCCTTATAAGGTATGATTTATTATTATCTCAAACTGATATGGGATCTCACATTCCACTTTTTTAGAGGCTAGTGTTCGCGTTGAAGCACTGCCCAGTGTGTAGCTATGATATCATTAGTAACAGCCTAAGTTCACCAGTAACAAATATTGATTACTTTAGCTCATTATGCTTGATATCAACCTCATAGTTTTAAAACGCGTTTGATATCAACCTCATAGTTTTAAAACGTGCTATTAGAGAAAGAGGGTGGGTGGGTGAGTGAGTCAGGTTTGTAACATATATTTCAAAGTGTGTCAGCTTTGTCCTTAGCTCAAGCCCTTCACATGAATCAAAAGAAAATATTTTATTTTTCAATTCAATTTTGACTCTTTTCAATTTTTAGTATAAAGTTTGAAAATATTTTGATAATGTAATTTAAATTTTGTTGGTTCAAATCTTTCTTAGAGTCGTATTTACCTCGGTTAATTTTTATTTTTACTCCTCTTTTGTTTTATTTATATATTCAAATTATTTCTAAAATAATTATTAAAAAAAAATAAAGTAACAAACTTTTATTAATATTTTTAGTATGGTCAGGTTTCTTTATAGTTATTATTAAGAAAATTACAACTCAAATTTTATTATAAAGTTTTGTTGTGATCGAACATTTTTATTATTTAAATTAGTAACAAAATTTAATTTAGTACGATCATATGACGTGACATTTTGTCTTAATGATTTGTCATTAATTAAAAAAATATGCCTAAGGTTGTATTTATTAGAAAAAACAAAAAAATAAAGTTGAGATAATATTTTGGAGTACAAGATGATCTCCATTCATTTTTAACTAAAATATTAACTATATTAAAAGTATACTATAATGATTAAAATGTGATTTAATTAATTAATAAACTAAGATGCCTACATATAACCAAAAACAAAATTTATTAAAAACCATTAAGGATTTATTTGGGACTATTTTTTTTAAAAAAAACCACTCTATTTCTTTTTGCATTATTTTTAAAAGAATAATATAAATTATGAGGTAACGGATTTTCGTTAGTAATAACTTTTTTAACCTTTCTTCTGTAAAATAAAAATAGTTAATTTTACTTTTGAAATTTCATAAGTAATTTTAAAATATGATATTAATGGTAACTTAATAAGGGTATTTTTGAACTTTTTAAAAAATTTAAGGATATTAATGAAAATTTTAAAATACACGGTTAAAAGTTGAAAGAGTATTAATTTTTACACCTCTCAATCTACATGGATTATAATATAAGTCTATTAAATGTTAAATTAAAATTTTGTGGTTAAAAACATATATTTTATAATTTTTAATTTAAATATATTGAAATAAAAATGAATAAATAAATAAGTGTTGGCCTAAAAAGGAAGGAAGAACAGAAAGAGAGAGATGTTTTAGGTTATTTTTTTAAGTGGTTCCCTCTAAGAACCTCAAGTTGATGTGACATGTCCGGCCTCTTACCCCATCAAATCAGATTATTGACACCTGGCATTGTCTCATTGGTCCATTCTCTCTATCTCCCACACTCCCTCCCCTCCACCCTCATCCTTTTCGCTTACGTGGCATTCCACCTCACGCCTACGTCATTCTCTCCTTTTATTTATTTATTATTGCTTTTAAAATTTAATCTCCTATTAATGTCTAAAATGTTTAATTTTTTATAAATAAAAGAGGATTTTGACATGATATTTGGAGAAATAATGTAACAAAAATGTTGGAAAGTACATTGAAATTAAATTTATCAATTTGAGATATAGTTGAATTTTATTTATAGATTGAATTCATTGCTTTAATTATTAATATATGTTTATTGCATTTCTTTTAACTGATGTGACAATTTTTTGAAACTATACTTTTTTTTTTTTCTGAGAAATAATTTAGAGATTAAATTAATTTTATTTGTCAACTTTCATTATTATTGCATTTTGATTTTGTGGATTTTTAATTATAGTACTTTTATATTTGTCTTTGTAAAAAATATTCATTTACCCTCGTATTTTATTATATAAAATAAGAAAACTCTTTAAATAGAATGGTAATTTTGTTTTTTTAAAGTTTAGAACAAACAACAAATTATTATATGAGATGGAAAATCGAGGTCGTTTTATATATTTTTTTATTACATAATCAAATAATTTCTCCACTAAGAATAAATAAATATTATGTTAATGGATTTTTGAAGAAAAATTATCAACCACATGATTGAAATTACACACCACGTGGACCAACGAAGAAAAGTAAAGGGTAAAATCGTCAATACAAAATAAGAACACTTCCGAAAAGGGCCTCTCGTCATAATCTAATCCAATGAAAATCACAGTATGGAATAATTCATAAATTATTGACTTCTAGAGTTTCCCCATCATGACTGAAACCTCATTATTTTCCCATTTTACCCTCCGAATAACAGAAATTACAAAAGTAAGGTATTTTTTATAAACTTTATTGGATATAAATAAAAAAATAAAAATAAAAATCTTCCACTTTTGTCTTCTGGAGATCCATGCAATCTCAACCGTTCAATTTATATGGTCAACGACAAAGAGAATGGCGACCAAAGAAAAAGAGAAAGAGAATGACCACTGATTTTGAAAAAGAAAAAGTTAAAAACTAAAATTAAATAAATATATATATATAAAAATAAAAAAAAGCTCTCTTTCTTTCACCCTCCCTATAACAAATGACACGAAGGTCTTATCACTGCTCCTGTACATCCGGCGCAGAGGATCGCAGCCGTTTAGTCTGAGGTTCGGCTGAGGGAGCGGCGGGTTCATGGCTAGTAGAGCCGAGATTGTCCAAGCGCGTGTCACAGCTACCGCATGCAGCCGCGTCGAGCACACCGACTGGACTCGGGGGAGCCGGCTGCTCGGCTTCTTCATTCCGTTGTTTTCGGAGACCTAACGGACACGTGTCAATCACGTACTCCTCCATTAGTTGGTGACAGCTTCTCACCATTTCCTACCCTCAATAAATTTTTTAAAATTATTTCGACAGCAAAAATATTTTAACCCCAAACGCCAAACGCTCCTTTTTTTATTTTTCGCCTTCGAAAATAAAATAAATAACTACTTAAATTTCGAATTTGGTCCCTAATATGGATTTTAATTTCATTTTGGTCCCTATAAATTTCGGTTTGTTTCAATTTAGTCCCGTTTTAATTGTTTATATATGTTTTTACAAATTATTATTCACACAAAGATCAAGATTCGTACAATATTAAAAATAATATACATTATGTTTTATTAAATAAGAAAAAAGAGGATTTTGTTTTTGCATACTAGTCCCTACAGAATTATGAAATTCGTTTTCAAACACATTGAATTAGTACTTACGACTCTGTCCGCCGTAAGGAAATGGCCACAAACCGCTGGAGAATCCAATCGCTCACCAGCAGCGCAGAGAACGGCGGCGGCAGCAATGGCGGACGGCCGGAACCCCAAGAAATCGATCACTGAAAATCATTCCAATTTTGTTTAAAAAAACGAAATGGATAAATCGAACTAAGAACGAAGAAGACAAAAAAAGAAAAAGAGAAAACCGATTAAATATGATAACAGAGTGGTTTTAGGTTTTTTTTGTCGTAAGTACCGCGTGTAGTGCTAAGAATGAGATCGGAAGAAATTGAGAAGAGAAGATGGCAGTCGTCGCCGTCACTATCGCAATCGCCGCCGTCTGCGGCGGAAGAAGAAGGAAGATCGGAGATGAAGTGGTGGAGGAAATCGAAAGGCGTGACGGCGCGTAATCTCCAATTGAGAATAGACATGACCCAAAGCTCCATTCTCTGGACCGTTTTGGGCTCGAAGACGTATTGAGGCTCGAAGATTTGGAGGTCCAAAAGCAATGGGACCTGAGGCTCCTCCATTTTCGCTGCTAATGACAAACACGCCACCGATAGCAGCTGAAACGGCCATCCATTCCGCCGCTGCAAAAAACAAAGCCCTAAAATCATCAGCCTCAAAATTCCGATTCGATTCTTGAACAATCGAGACAAAAACAAGGGGGAAATCGAAATAGATTCTTAACCGGAAGGAAATTGGAGGAGAGGAAGCGATCGAAGTAATTAACGGAGAGACTCGCAGTGACCGGTTTGAAGTTGTAGTGAGCGTGCACCTGCGAAACCCTAATCGCTTTTAAAAAACAAGAACAACAATGCGAAGAACGCTCATGGAGTAACGATTAGCAGTAAACCTTCAAGATCCAGTTGATGGAGTCATGGCGAGCGGTGACGTCGATGGACCGGTCACGACACCGGAGAACGTAGTCACGGCGAGGCATGTGGTCGAGTTCCGACTGAAGAAGGCTGAAAATGGCAGAGTCATCGGAGGAAGAAGCGGCAGAATGACGAGGAGAGAGAGACATTGAAGAGAAGAAAGGTCACCGGAAAAGAAACGGCGACGGCATTGGAAAGGAGGAGGAAGGTGAAACGGCGATGGGGAGTGGCGGTGAGATTGTTGGGAGGGAAGGCCATAGCTTTATGGGTTTAGATGGAACATAGTCAATAATCTGCACTCAGTGAGAGAGAGAGTGTTTGGGTCTCTTTCTCTCTCTTATTATTTTAATTTTTTTATTTTTTAAAATGAAGTGCTGAGTGAGCGAGCGAGTGAGACAGTGAGAGTATTTGTGGGGGCGCGTTTGGCAAGGATCAAGTAGATTACTGTAGCTGAGTTGTCAATTCATTATTGGTTAGTTTCTTAATGGGTTTATAATCCACCTCCACACTGGATAACTCCTCTTTTTTTTTCACTTTATTTAATTCATTTTAATTTCAAAATAGAATGTTTAATTACTTTATTATTATTATTATTTAATTTTGAGGTTGGGTTTTTATTTCAATTTAAAAGAATAAAAAAAGTGATAAATAATTTGAGTAAATTTATTAAGATACAAAATAAATAAATTAATAATATAATAAATATGGAATTTCCATTATTGATGAAAGTATAATTTTTTAATTAAAAAATCACATTTAATTTCCATTTTTTTATGATTATATGTTCTTGACCACACTTATTATTTTTTATTTTCTTTTTGAATATTGGAATAAAATTGAATTAAAATAGATGTAAAAGAAGTTGTATATAGCTTTGAGTGTAGCTTAAGTTTATTAAAGTACTTTTAAAACCTGCTTTTTTTTAATTTCTTATATTTATTAGTTTTTCTCTCATTTTCTTTCTTTACAAAATAGTAGCTCTAAATAATATTAATATCTAATAAATTAATTATTTTTTACAATTTTTAAATTCGTTATTAAACCCAAGCTTAAAAGTTAATAAACATATTAAACATAAAATAAAAAATTTATAAACATTTTTAAAGCATAAAGGCAGTCACATAGCAAGCAAATCACAGTTCTGTGTTCATATATATATATACTTCAACATCTTATCTGTCAGGAAAGAACAAGCATTTTAACTCAAAACAATGTCAAACATTTCCTCTCCTTTTTCCTTAGGATTATGAAGTTAGAATGAGGGGAAGAACCTGCTGAGGTTCCATGGAAGAGAGTAGAACTCTTCGCTTCTCGTATCGACGTTGAACGACCAAAACTTCTCCCACCAATGGCGCCCGCTGTCTCGACGAGTTGAGCTATGGTTCCTCATCAGTGTGGTGTCCAAGAAGAAAGCAACCACTGCAGCCACTGTGGCTGGTGAGGAGAATATCACTTGCATAATGTTGTTGAACTGCAATGACAAAGCATTTAGACAGTATTCATGTAAGAATTCAGCTAGTATAGTCATCTGCTAAACGGCCAGCATTAACAATAGTGTTTGTTTCTTTGTGTAATTAAATTTAAGAGCTCACCCATCTGGCTTTAGTATGAACAGGACCATGCCCAGAAATGAAATGATACTCATTGAAGTACTGGGGCACAGAGAGGCCCAAGAACAGAGAGAATCCGAGTACGAATTTTGACCGAAAGCTGTTGAGGTTGCAGAATTGAAGTAAACCAAGACCAGCAGAAGCTGTTTGTCCAATGAGATATCACAATAAAAGCATAGAGTTTAATTCTCTGAAAGATGAGATGAATTGTAACTGACAATGCTAATCTAACATTTTGTCCCCACCACACTGACAACATTCACTTATAGCATTCATGGGGTAAGGTCCTGTGTAAGATTATAGGGCCATAATATTTTTGCATAACAAGTTGTAAATGTTCATAGAAGAATCAAACTTCAAATCAAGCGGCAAAAAGTGATGCATGAACAAAAAGCTTAAGCACTCCTTAGCAGGTCGAAAGAGAAAAGTTCCTTTCTTTTGGGGTCGTCATTTAGGATAGAGATTGTAACCGTCCAAGTCTACCGTTAACAAATATTGTCCTCTTTAGACCTTCCTTTCCAGACTTTCTCTCAAGGTTTTAAAATGCATCTACTTGGGAGAGGTTTCCACATCATTATAAGGAATACTTCGTTCCCCTCTTCAACTGATGTGGGATTTCACAATCCACCATGTTGGGATCCATTGTCCTTGCTGGCACACTGCCCGGCGTCTGGCTCTGATGCCATTTGTAACAGCCCAAGCCCACCGCTAGCAAATATTGTCCTCTTTGGCCTTCCTTTTCGGGCTTCTCCTCGAGGTTTTAAAATACGTATTCTAGAGAGAGGTTTCCACACCTTTATAAAGAGTGCTTTGTTCCCCTCTCCAACCGACGTGGGATCTTATAGACATGTTATTGAAAATGGGTTCACATTCTTAATTTGTCTCTTGTTTTTCTGTTTGGTTGTCTTGTTAGTAGTAGTATTTCACTCAAAGTTAATTCGTGGCCAGGTCCGATTCGGTTTAGGAGGCTAAGGTTGAGGCTGAAGAGCTGTTTACTAAAAGTTATGATAGCTAGAATAAAGATGATAAAGCTCAAGCAATTATTTGTTACTTTTTTGGTGGCTCACACTCTTAAGTTGTTGGTGGTTAAGTTAAAAGCAGCTGAGAATTTATAGCCTAACTGTTACAGATAAGAGCAGTGTACAGTATAAAGTTAATACTAACCATCCTATTTCAGTAGTCCTAAGTATAGGGTGGTTCATGGTTTGTAGCAGGTGGCTATAAATGGTTTCATGATTAGAATTTGAGTATCATATAATAAGATGATTTCGAATTCGATATTAATTATGGTTACGTCTGACAACCACCCTATCATTAATTCATGTTCTTTATAGGCCATCGTTCTTCGTTTTTGTTTCTAGAATTTGATTAAGAATTCAAATGTTTCGGGTGTTAACATTAGTTTCTTGATTCTGTGAAATACTTTCTAATAATCTTTTAGAAGGTTATCTAAATTAAAGCAGTTCTCAAGGTTTTCTAAGTGTGGAAAGCTAACAAAAAGGTGGAAAGGAAAGGAAAGGAATAAAGATGGTTTTTATGAACAGAAAAGTAAATAGAAGACAAAATTCACTATCTTTACGAATCTTTAGCTGCCAGTCGACTATTTTTACATTTTGATTCTTTTGGGTTTTACTGAACAGGATTGATCACAGAGCATTGAAGATTTTACAATACGAAGAAACTTACCAACATAGGCAAAGAGGACACAGTACAAGGCTGCCATTATTGGTAAGGGTACAGAAGCAAGGACAGCACCAAATTTGCCTGTTATCATTGGATAAGATGAACTTAAAAAACTATTGGTTAAGTAAAATTATAAAAGTAATATCAAAGGCCAAGTTGAACAATCATTTCATTGGTAGTTTAAGATATTGCGAAGCATAATTGTATAGTTGTGGAGGCAGTAAACATGTCATGTATTCGTAAGTTAAAAGGCTTTGTCCAAGATTACCTAGCACAGAGAAGAACAGCATAAACCCAGCAGAAATTTGAACAGCTCTTCGGCTTCCGACTCGGGTCAAACCCAAAAGACCTGCATTTTCACTGTAGAGATGGATTCTAATAAGAACATCCAAGCATTCAACATGTAAAGTAGTTGATGGCCATTTGAACATAGAAATTGAAATTTGTTAGCCATTTGAAATTCCCATAGAATCAGATTCCAGTGATATCCCAACACAACTGTGAAAAGGGCAGTACTTATTATTATTCTAAAGAGTTATAGCCATTTTTTATCCCCTTCTAAGTTTTCTAGTCAGTTTCCTCCGTATAGGCGTCTATTTTTCTCCGGTAACAACCCAAGTCCACCACTAGCAGATATTTTCTTTTCAGGTTTTCCCACAAGGTTTTTAAAACGTATCTGCTAGAGAGAAGTTTCGACATACTCATAAAGAACCGACGTGGGATCTCACATCTCCAGTCTCTATCTATCTTTTCTTATATTGCTCACTTGTATTCTTGCATTATCTTAATGAAAGTTGATCAGAGTATACACTATTCACTACCTTAAGAGCAAAGGGATTTCTTTAGACATTATATTGAGCAATAGAGAAGGGTTCTTTTTCAAGGATTGTCCAAAAATGCTTAATAAGGTTTGTTCTTACACAGATGCAGTGGAGCCAACGCCAGTGCCAAATAATCCATCCAGCAAAGTCCCTACCCCCTAAGGATCAGACAGTGTTTGTTCTATCAGAAGATGTGCAAGAAAAAGGAAAATAAATACAAATATTGGAGGATTGCTAAACTACCAGCCAACCAACTCCACGGCTTAGAACAGATGGCGGTATATGTGTGGCACTCCCATATCTTGCAGCTGCAATGAATGTTCCTGTAGACTAACAGCAGAAAGAGATGATATCAATAGGGTAGCTTGTTCTTAATCTCGTTGGGCCATGAGGAAAATTCATCATCAAGACAAAGCTGGTCGAGAAACAAAGAGACGTGTAAGAAATAAATTGACCTCAATGAGAGCAACAAGGGCAGAAGCCATCATTGAAAATATATCTCCAGCATCAAAACTAGGACGCCCCCATTGAAATGGATAAGGAACCTTTATCCTGTAGTTAAATGAGTATTGTTCAAGGTAAGAGACAAGATTCTAGAGGCACTGAAACACAAAAATAATCAACAAGACTCTGGCCTAACAGAACCTTTGATTCAAATCACACAGTACTTGTTAAAATAATTTCACAAACGACATGCAAGATTTGATGTTCAATGAAGAGGGTTGTACAAAACTAATCTTTTCAAAATAGTTTAGTATTGATGAAATTGTTCACACTCAAGAATCCACTTTTTAGGAGCGAATTTGGAATTCACAGAAGCCGTGGAGCAGATAGGAACCATTTGGAATTTTTCCTTCACCCTTCCGTGCACCCACCTTAGGTGAGGCCTATCTCACGGCTAAGATAGTCTCCTTCTTCAGTTCTTAATCCCTTCATCCAGTCACTCATTCTACTAATAACAAATCCCCACAATAACTTTCCTATCTAATTACTAGTGTACCTTAAAATACCTCTAATTTTATCCTAACAGCATTCCAATGAGAAAAAATGACAGCTGAAGCTGTTAAATGCACTTCTATATCTTTTGGCTAAAACCAGCATTGTCAAGAAAAGGGTTCAGAAATCATAATTCACGTGAAATTTCTTACATTCTTAAGTCTCAATGCCTGATAAAGGAGAACTCATTTTGTTCTTCAGAGTTCTCCAGCCAAAAGCCTCGGTCATTATCAATTATAACAC